AAAATGTGGTATTCTTATTTAGAACATCTTTAAACAGAGAGGATTGCATCTCACAACGTTGCGTAATGAGAAGCTAAAACTCTTTTGTGTTCAGTGGATATGGAACAGTATTCATTCATTTCTTATGATGTTTACACCAAAATCTACTTGATACTATTATTAGCACACAAATGCTGGTGTGTAAACAAAATGAGTTGGAAGAAAATAAATGTAGATGTGAGACTGGTGTTTCTACTTCTACAAAAGAAAATGTAAAGTTATTATGAATCAAATAAGAAGACTATTCTTGCTTTAACAAAATTATGAGCCATCAAATTTCCCAAGAGCATTGAGTCTTCATGGTGCAAGTTCAAGAAGAACCTGAAGTAATGATACCTGTTTGAGATGTACTTGAAATTTGGAATTAGAACTTACAAGATGGATACATTCCTGCTTCAAGAATGATGGTTGAAAAGCAGTTTATGAAACATTAGGAACATATAGTTCTAAATTAGAAAAATAAGGAATAAAATTGGGATTATTTTTGCTTACATCCTTACTAATACTTCTAATGAAGTTGTTTTTACTATCTTTTTTTTACTCCTATAACTTATTTGTAAAATGACAAAATAACAAATAAACATTCTATTGTCTGAACATGAAAAGACACTCAACATCATTAGTCATCAGGGAAATGCAAATCGAAACCACGCAGAGATACCACCTAATACCAGTCAAAATGGCTAGTATCACAAAGACAAGAAATAACAAGTGTTGATGAGGATGTAGAGAAAAGGGAGCCCTCATCCATCATTGGTGGGGATGTACATTTGTGCAATCACTGTGAAACACAGTGTGGAGTTTCCCCAAAAAATTAAAAATAGAAATGCCCTATGATCCAGTAATGCCTCCACTGGCTATTTACTCAAAGAAAATAAAAGCAGTAATTTGAAAAGATAGATGCACTCTTCTGTTTATTGCAGCATTATTTACAATAGCCAAAGTATGGAAGCAGCCCAAACGTCCATCCATAGATGAATGGATAAAGAAGATTAGTCAACAAAACTCAAAGACAACCTACAGAATGGGAGAAGATATTTGCAAATAACATATCAGATAAAGGGCTAGTTTCCAAAATCTATAAAGAACTTATTAAACTCAACACCAAAGAAACAAACAATCCAATCATGAAATGGGCAAAAGACATGAAGAGAAATCTCACAGAGGAAGACATAGACATGGCCAACATGCACATGAGAAAATGCTCTGCATCACTTGCCATCAGGGAAATACAAATCAAAACCACAATGAGATACCACCTCACACCAGTGAGAATGGGGAAAATTAACAAGGCAGGAAACCACAAATGTTGGAGAGGATGTGGAGAAAAGGGAACCCTCTTGCACTGTTGGTGGGAATGTGAACTGGTGCAGCCACTCTGGAAAACTGTGTGGAGGTTCCTCAAAGAATTAAAAATAGACCTGCCCTACGACCCAGCAATTGCACTGTTAGGGATTTACCCCAAAGATTCAGAGGCAATGAAACGCCGGGACACCTGCACGATGTTTCTAGCAGCCATGTCCACAATAGCCAAACTGTGGAAGGAGCCTCGGTGCCCATCGAAAGATGAATGGATAAAGAAGATGTGGTTTATGTATACAATGGAATATTACTCAGCCATTAGAAACGACAAATACCCACCATTTGCTTCAACGTGGATGGAACTGGAGGGTATTATGCTGAGTGAAGTAAGTCAATTGGAGAAGGACAAACAGTGTATGTTCTCATTCATTTGGGGAATATGAATAATAGTGAAGGGGAATATAAGGGAAGGGAGAAGAAATGTGTGAGAGATATCAGAAAGGGAGACAGAACATAAAGACTTCTAACTCTGGGAAATGAACTAGGGGTGGTGGAAGGGGAGGAGGGCAGGGGGTGGGGGTGAATGGGTGACGGGCACGGAGGGGGACACTTGACGGGATGAGCACTGGGTGTTATTCTGTATGTTGGTAAATTGAACACCAATAAAAATTAATTTATTAAAAAAAAAGAAGATTAGACATATATAGATATACACACATACACACATTACAATGGAATACTACTTGGCCATTAAAAATGAGATCATGCCATTTGCAACAACATGGATGGATCTAGGAGTTGTTATGCTAGATGAAATAAGTCAAACAGAGAAAGTCAAGTGCCATATAATTTCCTTATATGTAGAATCTAAAAAAATAAACAGGCTAGTAAAAACAGAGAACAGCTGGTAGCTGCCAGAGGGAAGATGGGTCAAGGGATGGGCAATATATGAAGGGAATTAAGATGTAAAACTTCCATTCATCCCATAAACAAGTCACAAAGATGAAAATACAACATAGGGAATACAGTCAACAATATTGTAATGACACTATATGGTGACAGATGGTGACTATACAGTGAGCACGGAGTAATGTATAGAATTCTCAAATCAACATGTTGTACACCTGAAATTAATGTAGCATTGCATGTCAATTATACTTCAATAATAAATGTTTAAAAACGTCTTTTATCTAAAAGACCTTGTATAGAATATTGTTTTTTCCTCAAAAATATTTGGTAGAATTTGCTTTCAAGCCATATGAACGTGAAGTTTCTTTGCTATATTTTCCCCTGGGTTTACTAAAATATAATTGACATCTAACATTTTGTCTGTATAAGATATACAATGTGATCATTTGATAAATGTATATATTGCAAAATGATTACCAAAATAAGGTTATTTATCACCTCACATAATTACCACTTTGGTTTTTTGTGGTGAGAGTATTTAAGATCTATTTTCTTGGCAACTCTCAAACTTACAATATCATACTGTTAACTATTGGGCACTATGCAGCACATTAGGTTCTCAGAACTTATTCATCTTACAACTGGAATTTGTACCATTTGACTGACATCTCCCCATTTTTCCCACCCTCCCAGGCCCTGGCATCTGCTCTTCTAAATTCTCTGTTTCTGTGAATTTGGCTTTTTCAGGTTCTGTCTGTAAAATCATACAGTATTTTTGTTTTTCTGTCTGACTTATTTCACCTAGCATAATGCCCACAAGATCTATCCATATTGTCTCAAATATGGATATTTATTTAGGTTTTTCTTGACCCAGATGATTCTGTTTCAGATGGGACAGGACTATGGATGAATTACTAGCTTCCTTTTCTTTTACTGTGGTTTGTCTGGTATTATTTATTTATTAAATGACATATATTTTGGTATGTTTTCTGATCATTTGTTTGCTTTAGTTTGGGCTCCTCAGCCAATTCTGGGTGTTCTTGTTTTCACTTACATGTACAGTATTGTTTTTTCTGGGTGTTATTGTTTTAACTTACATGTACAGTGAAGTTTGTGCTATTAGCTTTCTCGTGGGTATGCCGAGGACGTACACTATGGAAGGTTATTTGTGCTTGGATATGGAGAATTCTAACTTAAAGGATTGGATATTAGAATTTAGATGGTCACCATTATTCTCTCAGGATTCTTTCTTTGCCAACTCTGGAATTTCAACAGGGGGTTTTGTTGTTGTTTTGTACTATTTTTGAATTATTGCAGAGTGCTCTGAAGTATTGCCTCCAAAGTGTTATATTTTCTACTTCTCATATTACTTGAAATATCACTTATCCCACCCACCTCCTCACATTATATATTTAAATGTTTATTAGGTCATTAAAAGTTTTTCTGCCAAAAACTGAATTTATCTTTTATATTATTTCTATGTTATTCAAGAGATTGAATAGGTGAGATAGTTTGTTGGCAACAATATGTTTAAAATGTTGTATGAAACCTAATTAGTAAACCATATACCAATAGTAGTTAATAGAGCAGATTCTGATCAATTACAATATTTAAAAACTGGAACCTTTCCTTATTAAGACATCTCAAGAAAACCCTAGGTTGTTTTTTTTTTTCATTTGTAAAACTAATGGTACTATTATAATCTCAGCATTGTTATGAAGGATCAATGAGTTACCCATGCAAACTGTATTGCCTAGCATTTAGTAAGTATTTAATACATTTTAATAGGTATTCTTATATTCTTTGTATATAATTATCTACAATTGGACTTTACAGATTGAATTTGCAGTCACATTATTTACATTTTTTCCTTTATTCCTTTGTCTCAAAGGAATAAAATTAGAATATACTTCTTCTTGACTTAGCGTTTATATTGAACTTGTAACATTCAAGTTCAGGGCATCCAAAACATACCATACAGTGCTACATTTTTAAAATTTTATTTCCTGGAAAAAATTGCTGCATTTTGCTTTTGTATACAAGAAATAAAATGCAGTTTTGTTTTCCAACAGTAGAGAATTTTGAAAATTAAAAGTAACTTTTTAAATACTAAATGTATGTACTTTGAAAGTATGGAAATTGAAAACAGTAAAAACAAGATTGAATATTCTTGATAATTATTCTATACTGAGATAATAGTGGTTAGTATCTTATTGTTTCCAATTTATTTTACAGTCTTCTAGCATCATGGTTAAACATTTACTCTCAAATACAATTTTTGTCTTTCAATAGATTTTTAGAAGTATAATTGCAGAGTCAAAGGAAATACATGCATTTCGTGCTATTGATAAGTCTTCCCAAATTGACATTTAAAAATATTGTGTCCTGTGGTGTATAATTAGATTCTAATGCTTTGTATTTTTGAATATTTTCAAAATACATATAAAAATCTTTTAAAACATGATGCAGTTTCATCTGTAGAATCATTACCAGGTAACAGAATTTCACTTAAATTAAATATTTTTTAAAATTTTAAGAAGAATTTCACTCATGTTTTGGTTTGAAATTGCTATATATTTTATTACTGAAAAATGTTATAAATGATGGGTTTATAAATACATTTTTAACCTGTAAATGAAAATTAGAAAGTGACCTTATTCTAGAAGTAGCATCACATATCAAAAGAATGGATGATCGATATAAAGTATGGGACACAATAGTAATGTTCTTCTTTATTTCTGGTTACACAGGAGATTACACTTCCCCACACGCTTGAAGTCAAGAGTGGTAATGTGACTAGTATTTATGGCCAGTTCCCTGTAAGTAGAAGACCATCAGCTCTCCATATGAAAAATTAATAAACAAAACTATTCTGCTACATGATAAAAGACACAAAGATAAAGTCTAGATATATTAAAAATCTATCCATGAAAAACAAGCAAAAAATAAAAGAGACTGCCCATATGATGTCAAAATTGGGAAGGATTTTTTAAACATTATACCAAAAAATAAAAGCTGTATGTAGGAAATAAATTTGAAATAAAAGACACTCAATGCAGAAGTGAGACCAAGAAGAAGAAAATATAATACTTGGAGAAGATATCTAAATATTTGCAACATAAGCAAAGATAAATGTATATATATGCATCTCTAGACATATATTTAAAACTTCTGTAAATTAACAAGAAAAATAAAATAACCTAAAGAAAATGAACTATAATGTTTATATTTCTTTTGAGACTTATTCTCTCCCTTTGTTAAGCCTTTCTCCCAATTCCTAATAACCTAAAGAAAAATATGGCTAAAGAAAATGAACAATAATTCTTATATTTCTTTTGAGACTTCTTCCATTCTCTGCCTTTGTTAAGCCTTTCTCCCAATTCCTAATATTCTTTCTTATAGTTTATAAAGATTCATAAAATCCTTCTTGTATTAATTCATCAAAGAGACATTGTTTGCCTGGTGTGTCCTAGACATCATTTAATGGCTTGGGGTACACGTCATTTTCACTTCTTGAAGTTCTTTATTCATATAAATTTTTTTATTTTTATTTTTTTTATTTATTTATGATAGGCACACAGTGAGAGAGAGAGAGAGAGGCAGAGACACAGGCAGAGGGAGAAGCAGGCTCCATGCACCGGGAGCCCGACGTGGGATTCGATCCCGGGTCTCCAGGATTGCGCCCTGGGCCAAAGGCAGGCGCCAAACCACTGCGCCACCCAGGGATCCCCTTTATTCATATAAATACTTCATGCTAACACTGAGCTTAGGAAGACCCAGTACCCAAATCGAAGGGGCACAGTTTCCAGACTATACTTGATTTTAGACAAAATATGATTCAACCGGTCTTTTGATCATTCCATATATGTTTATACTTTTGAACAAACAATCAGTAATCTAAAATCAGTGATTGGAAGATAACACAAAATGTACATGAGTGGAATGGGGAAAAAAATTAGATCTCCACTAATCTCGCTGGCAGTAATCTTGGTGGGTTTTTTGTTGTTGTTGTTTTATTTTGTTTTATTCTGTTTGCAGGCTATGAATTATTGTAAACAGCCAAACTTCTAATTAGTATATCAAGCAAGACAATGTAGATATGCCACTCCAGTATTTACTCTGACTTAACAAGAATTTTTGGAAAAATAAGCAAACCAACTGTTAACTCAAGTTCTCAAAGATATGTTTGCACTTAGCCCAAAACTTTAACTTCCTTTACAACTTTCTTTCTCTGACTCAGACTCCCTCCCAGGTGCTCTTCCCAGTGCACTTACTCCAAAATCAATATTAGGTGCATGCTTCTAATTTCTTCCATTTTCATTACATTATCCTATGAGGCAATAGAAGTTACCTTATAGTTTGTCTTTCTCTTTTATTTTTCTTCTGTTTAATCAGAGAACTTTTTTTTTACATGTTACCATTATCAATGTTCGTATGTGCAGAAATAACAGATTTACCTTTTATTTTTATTTATTCCACATCAATATAAGGCAGTGTATTGACCTTATGTTAAGATATGAACCATCTATGAAAGTCACAGTTGTGAAATTGGAAACAACTTTAGTTAAAAACGTGTGAAGGGTGAGATTTTATAAAGGCCTGGCTTTGGATACACATTATGAAAAAATACATCCAAAATTAATCATCAGTAATTCTGTGCCTCTTTTCCACAGGATAGAATGTTTAAATTTTGTCAAATGAAGCATATTTTTGAAATACTCGATAAAATGAGATGCCTGCGAAAACGTTCCACAGTGTCATTCTTGGGAGTTCTTGTCATTTTCCTTCTCTTTATGAACTTGTACATTGAAGACAGCTATGTTCTGGTAAGTTTTGGAGGTTATTTTTGTTGTTGCTGTTATAATAAGGTCTAAGTCAAATTAGGCTTAGTCCAATTGTAACCTGATTTCAATCTCAGGTTCCTGGAATAGCATTAGTTTGAGCAAAACTGTAACATATATACTTTCTATCTAGCTACTTGTATTAATCCTATATTACCAACATTACAATTACTTTGATTTGTGTTGCAATGTTTTCCTGCATATAGTAGTTCAAATATGCACATTTAGTTATAAATAAATTAGCTATCATCACTATGCTGAATTATTTTATTTGTGTGTACACCATAATACTTTTTGAGCTTTAACTTGAAATATATAGAATTTTAAAAATTGCTTAAAGATATTAGTCCTTACTTTCTCAATTTTTATATTATCATCAAATTTTCAAAATCTTATTTTTAATAATACTAATTATACTATTTTGGTAAGAAGTAATATTTTGTTATAATGTATGACACCTCATTTGATTTTGAATCAAATGTCATAAATGGCCACCATGTTATGTATTTATATTCACAGAAAAGTAGTAGAGAAGCTGAGGAAATGGAGATAATGATGTGAAAACTATTTAATAGCTTAAAAAGGATAAGTTAGCATATAACATATAAATAAATTTTTAAGTAAATTCTAGAAATAAACAAAAGGACTTACTCTGGCTAATTTTGAGAACTCATTTTGTTCTATCATTTTTTATTGTTATAGGTATCGCAACATTTTATGTCTGAGGAGAATAACATGAACATTTTTCTTATTCACTTTCTATGTGAACTGAGCTTAAGATATCTGAAAAAAATCCTACTCTTTTTGTTACATTTTGTAAATAAAACACATGATATTGGCAGGATACTTATTGTATCCAATGACTTGCATTTCTGAGACACTTTCAAACCCAATTTCAGTGTTTCATTTTAAACAGACAAAACACCATTGTGTATAACAAGCATCCTTATATCTTGTATATAGAATCTCTTCAAATTCATTATAAAATGTGTAAGGAGTAATAGAGTATATTTTTATAAAGATCAAATACTATTGTCCTGTCTTGTGGATTTTTACACATTTCTATACAAATTTCAGTCCTATCTAACTAATGTAAAAGGTGTGATTTAATGAAACAGCTCTTACTAAAATAATATTTTGTCAATGAAAATTTCTCTGGCTAGATTACATGTATATCTAGTCAAATTTACAAGTAAGCCCAAGTGTAGAGAAGGGATTGCTCCTTAGTTTTAAAAATTGTAATTATTTTTAAATACTTATATTAGGTTGGGAAAAAAGTGAGTTAAAATGATGGCTAAGGGACACCTGCGTGGCTCAGCGGTTGAGCATCTGCCTTTGGCTCAGGGCATGATCCTGGTCCTAGGATTGAGTCCCACATCAGGCTTCCTGCATGGAGCCTGCTTCTCCCTCTGCCTATGTCTGTGTGTCTCTCATGAATAAATAAATAAATAAATAAATAAATAAATAAATAAATAAATAAATAAATAAATAAATAAATATGGTGGTTAAATACAAGCACTCCCCTTACTGAAAATTTAATGACAGTATTTTTATTAGTTTCATTTCTCTCTATTTATTAGATGATTTTTTTACATAAATGCATTTAGAGCTAAATTTTATCCCAAGGCTTAATATGTATAAAGATTTAAAACATTCTTTAAATAATTAATGTAAAATTACATTAAGATGTTTTTCTAAAAATGTTTAATTGCCAAGGAGAACCAGCTACCTGCTGGTATACGATGTAGTTTCTCTGTAACACTTGTCCCTTTTGACCTTTTTATCCGTGTTTATTTCAGTTTTCACAACATTATCTCATTCGACTTTTTTTTGCCTTAACTCCAGAATACCACAATGTGTACAATTTGCTAAGTATAGACAATAGTACATTTTTCTTTTCCTTCCTTCCTTATTTCCGGGGGAAATACGAGTTATAATTCAGAGAAATCAGATAAATACTTACAAGTAAAAGATCTCTAGAGGGGATCCCTGGGTGGCGCAGGGGTTTGGCGCCTGCCTTTGGCCCAAGGCGCGATCCTGGAGACCCGGGATCGAATCCCACATCGGGCTCCCGGTGCATGGAGCCTGCTTCTCCCTCTGCCTGTGTCTCTGCCTCTCTCTCTCTCTCTCTCTCTGTGACTCTCATAAATAAAAAATAAAAATAAAAAAATAAAAAATAAAAAGATCTCTAGAGTTAAGGAGCACATTCTATTCTGCTGTTTTTGGTAGAAAAATGCATTTGTGGCCTTAAATCCGTGGTATATAACAGTTTAATGGATTGCTTACATATCCGGGACATATGTGCCTTTCGTTGGGAAAGGAAGCCAAGCTCAGTGCAAGAGACAAATACTATTACAAGGCAGTCTAAGTAGAAGAGACGCTACATGCCCAATCAACTTAGCCTCTGGGCTATGAGCATCTTCAAAGTAGCCACTAGGGTATATACTTAGTCTGTAGCTAGTGCATTGAATTGCATTCCTATCCAGAAAATGATTGTCATAAAGCTTTGTCTTATTACTGAAAAATACACCACAGCATAGTAGCTACAGAAAGAAGGTATCCAGGGAGAGCCTCGCTGTTCAGGTAGATGCCTCTGGAAAGCAGCCAACAAGACTGACTTAGGTGAAAGTTGCATTATTTATTTATGCTGAAAAGTGTAAAGAAGCTTGTTCTTGAGAATTTAATAAAGTGCTTTCATATAACTTCCATTTCATTTTATATTCTGTTATGTCCTTCAATCAGGATGAATGTACCCTACTTTCACACAGAAAAGGTCTGGATTTTTACACATTCAAGATAGAATTCTTAAAGAAAGATTCAATATCCTGCACTTCCTTTAGACTGTAAAATCACATAAGAACAGAATGATGAAATGAATTCAGAATTGTGACTACTGTGATTTTTATAGATATTTCTTCTAGACTCTATTGATAATGGGCACTATCACATTACTAGTATAAGCAGTTGGTGCTGAACTGAGTCCTTAGTTACTTTTTGGCAATCATAAATTTATTTTAAAGCTTTTATAATGTTTTATGTTTCCAGAGAGACAGAGACCAAAATATTTCTGTGTAAAGAAATTACAATTATCAGAATCCAACAGATATTCAGTTGGTATAAGAAATATAGAACTGAAGGCATAATTTCATATATCTTGGAAGTGTTACTTATAGATGGCAAATATATTATACATATTGTAAAAGACTAACATATTTTCCTCAATTATCAAGACAATATAAAAATAGAAATACAGTATTAAAGATTGAGTGTAAGTTTATAAACTTAATTGAGTATACAGAAGAGATATTCAGAATGGATCTTGAATTAGCAAAGACCAGACTGGAAGCTTCTCCCAGTCATGGCCTAATATTCTCAATTTTTATTCTAAGACAATTCCAGTCGGCCATTGATTTAAAATTTTGAGTCAGTCTCTTTCTTTATTGACATTTGAATTTGAAGCAAAATATTTAATGTTCCAAATAAAGTAAAATTTGTATTTGAATACTTTCTAATTTTTTATAAACACTGGTTTAATTAAAGTTTTATTGACCACAGGCAGATAATATAAAGACCAAATTTGTTCAAATGCATTTACTTTCTCTATAGTTTTAATGGCTTATAGGCTTAATGGCTTAATGGCTTACATATGCCTGGCCTGCCATTCTACATGGAATAGTGGAAATAGATCCATATAATATCACACAGTACAGTAGACACTTGCCTAAAAACAACAACAAAATTATTTCTAAATAGCTTATCTTTGAATATATTCTACTTGTGGTAGCAAGCCAGATACAAAGGCCAGGCAAGTCGATATTTTGCAAATAATATATAACCAACAAGACTTGATCAAATTGTGCTTAGGTAATCAAAATGTACTATTGAACTTATACTAAAGAGAGAAAAGGGAACCAATTAGTAATTAATAATATATTTTAAGCTAAATATGAGTATTTTTTAATATAAGCCTTCTCAAAGATTGGATAACATAAGTCCCTTACCAATTACATAAAGGGGATCTTAAATATAAAAGGACCAGACTTCAATTCCAACAGGCTAGTTTATACACACACATAAGCAGCAAGCAAATATATCATGAGAAAAACTAGTGTAAGGTCTGAAGACACTTCCTTGACTTGCCACAAATGTATTTTAATTAAGACATCTTGAAGACATTTGAAAAAACACTAATGTCAGAAGGACCGTGGCTATTTGTTCTCAACAGTCTTTGGTTATAGTGGCCAGAAAGATGACTGACTAAAACTCCTTCATTAATAAATTATCCAGAAATAATTATATAGAAATAATGTGTGGTATTACTTAATAATGCTTGAAGAAGATAAAATCTTAATATGCTTAATATGACTAAAATATGGAAAATTTAGTAAGAATTAGCTTTATGTGATTACTGTGAAATAGATTACTGTGAAATTTTAAGATCATCAAATTCCATAAAGGCAGTGGGAGTTTTCATGTAGAGATTTTTTTTTGTCAAGAAAATGCCATTATTAATGTATACTGTAGGAAAAGCAAACTGAAGTGAAGTACGAAGAGGGCAATAGAGTAGTGGAGTCTGGAGTAGAGACTCTAGGTGGGAATTCAGGTGTGAGATGAGGATCTATAACTTACGGTGCCAGTAGCTGAGATTTATAGAACATCCATATTATATATCAACCCCATATATTCATTGTGTAAGGAAAAACTTTATTTAATCCATGACCGTCTATTATTTATTTATTTTCTCTGCCTCCTTCTTGGCATTCAGGAAGGAGACAAACAACTTATAAGGGAAACATCCACACATCAACTGAATTCAGAACGTTATGTGCATACTTTCAAAGACCTATCTAATTTCTCAGGAGCCATCAATGTCACCTATCGCTACTTAGCTGCCACGCCTTTACAAAGAAAGCGTAAGTATCCCTCCAAATCAAGAATACATAAAATATTTTTGTTTTAAAACAATGACAACTGGCTTCATTTGTATAGCAATAAAACTTTATGGGCTTTACTAAAATATATTCTTTGGGAAGTAATTCAACATGTCTTCACAAATTGCAATTACTCACTGATCCAATTCCATTAATAACAAAAAAAAAGAGAAACTTTTAAATGCCTGTTTGAGATATAAACTTTCAAACAATTTGCTGTAGAACCATGTAGAGAGACTGAGAAAAATCCATTTATTTGCACTTATAAAACATATCTTTTAAAAATAACTATTCTCCTACTGATACATTTTCCAATAATAATGCTTTGGTTTTTATGCCTTGCCACTGCTTTTGAAGTAGTGAAAGTCATTATTTTAATTTACCAAGGTGCTGTAACAAATTATCACAAACTAGTTTAAAATCATGGAAATGTATTTTCTCATACTTCTGGAGACCAGGCATTCCAAATCAAGGTGTGGGCAGAACCATTCCTCTGAAAATCATAGGGGAGAATCTTTTCTTGACTGTTTTAGCTTCTGGTCACTCTTGGTGTTTCCTGGTTTGTGAGGGCATAACTATGATCCCAAGCTCCATCTCCACATGATCTTCTTTCCTTGGTCTCTATGTCTCTCTTCTTCTTCAAGGACACCAATCATTGCATTTAGAGCCCACTCTAAATCTGATGTGATTTATCTCAAGATCCTTAACTAATTATGTCTGCAATACTCTATTTTCAAATAAGGTCACAGCCTGAGGTTCCAGGTAGACTTGGATTTTTGGAGAAAACTATTCAGCTCACTATAGATAGATTGAGTCTGAGGAGTAACATACTACACACACTTTATGGATTTCAAGACACCATAGACTGTGGAAGGTATCATGACCTAATTAATGTGCCACTAGGAAAGCATAAGTATTAATGCTTAAGTTTTCATTGTAAGATGCCATCAATTGTAATATTCAACTTGATTTTAAAATATTTCTGTGTGAAAAATATGACTCATGAAATGAATGAAGCACAGTGATATCATGAATTTCTGAATTTCATGATAGATGATGTGGGGACCACAGAAATTGAGTTCCCCGTTAAGAAGTGTTTATGCAACTGAGTCTGTGATCACCAGGTTGAGGAAATTGTAGCTTAACTTAATTCAGGTTTCTTTAGGTCCGTCTTCCATTCATTCCTTCATTTCAAATGTCTATAGCTCTTAAGCTTTCTTCTAATTACATAAGATTGCCAATGTTTATTTTTATCTCCATCTGTTACACTACCTTTGTGCAAACATTACTAATTCTCCCTTTCCATCCTAAGCTTACTAATGTGTATTGGCACATATGCCACTGCTTTATACAAAGGGACAATATAAAACAGAGGGTACAAGCAGGGCACTTTGGATCTTGGCACCACACCACTCACTAGGTGTTACACTTTGCACAAGCAAGCTCATCTCCCTGTGATTTAGTTTCCTCACCTATAAAGCAAAAATGATGACAAGTGCAAAGCTCTTCCAAAAAACCGTTAGGAATATTCAAGATACATATTATATGCAAAATGCATAGATTTCTTCCTTTAATGTAGGAAGTATTCTAATAGTATTGGCTACTCCAGGGCATTTAAGCTGGTTTCTTGAATCGAGTGGTACCAGAGAACATACTCATTTTTCAGAAGAAGTTAGGGCCATAAATCCAGGTATTTAAGCAATATGTGTAAATCTCTACCTCTCTGACAGACTAGCGAGAAAGATAATTCTTGGAAAGGGTTTTTTCAGTATTGCGTAAGTCACAACAAGTAGGTATCTGTACTAAACAATGATCTTGGTGAATATAAACATTTTCCTATTTTTCAAGTAGTGGTTATGAAATTGTATTCAGTTCTGAATCATGGTGAGAATCAGAACTTTAAAAAGTGAGAATATTTCAATAAGGAGACATCTACACTTGTTAGAAGTAAACTGCGATTTCACAAGGTTTTATTTTATCCCCTAAAATATCCAGATTCTAATTTGAGATTTTAAGTATCTGAATAAAAATATCCCCACAGTAATTGCTATAAAATGTGTTTCAAAACAAGGAAGAGAGTGATACTCATGTGTTGGAACAATTTACTCTACATTTGAGTAATAATGCAGTTTTTAAAAATAGTATAATTTTTTTGGATTCTAATAGCATTCTAGGTAAATTTCAAAATAAAATTGTGGAGTCCAATTATTAATTTTTTGGTGTGAGATAATGAGAGTGATCAAAGGAAAATGAAAATGTAACATGTTTTGCATGAAAAATTTAGAGATTATTAAAATAATGAGTTATGCTTGATTTTCTTTCTTTTTATCATTTGAGACTGGTTTGTCATCCTTAACTGTGAATTCCCTTCTCCTTTTGCATTTTTTAATAATGTGGATATTATCCAAACATCTATCTTCTCTAATAGGCATTAAGCTGCAAAACACCTCAAATCATATTTTTTATTTCATAAATAAATGTTCACAGCAATGAAGCTCATACGTCATTGTGCTTAAGATGCATTTTTTCCATAGAAAAGTCAATTATGTATTAAGTACTGTAGCCTTTATGTATTTAGCATAATACTTCACTCACAAAATATTCTATACATATCATTTACTAGATTTACCTAATACAGTAGCAGGCCTAAGGAGAAAAGTTTTTTTCTGTGTTATTCAAAACCTATTTCACATTTAATTTTCTTCCTTCTGAATTCTTTTGCTCAGGGTTTCTTACAATTGGACTTTCATCAGTGAAACGAAAAAAAGGAAACTATTTACTTGAGACAATCAAGTCAATTTTTGAGCAATCCAGCTATGAAGAGCTGAAGGAAATTTCGGTGGTGGTTCACCTAGCGGACTTTAATTCATCCTGGCGTGATGTCATGGTCCAGGATATTACACAGAAATTTGCCCACCATATCATTGCAGGAAGATTAATAGTTATACATGCTCCAGAGGAATATTACCCAATCCTGGATGGCCTTAAAAGAAATTACAATGATCCAGAAGACAGAGTCAGATTTCGTTCCAAGCAAAACGTAGATTATGCTTTTCTGCTTAATTTTTGTGCCAATACTTCAGACTACTATGTAATGCTTGAAGACGACGTTCGATGTTCAAAAAATTTCTTAACTGCCATCAAGAAAGTCATTACCTCCCTAGAAGGAACCTACTGGGTAACTCTTGAGTTCTCTAAGCTTGGCTACATTGGAAAACTTTATCATTCTCATGATCTCCCACGTTTGGCACACTTTTTATTAATGTTTTATCAAGAAATGCCTTGTGATTGGCTATTAACTCATTTCCGGGGTCTTTTAGCTCAGAAAAATGTGATCCGTTTTAAACCATCTCTCTTTCAGCACATGGGTTATTACTCATCATATAAAGGGACTGAGAATAAGCTGAAGGATGATGATTTTGAAGAAGAGTCATTTGACATCCCTGATAACCCTCCTGCAAATCTATATACCAACATGAATGTTTTTGAAAATTATGAAGCAAGCAAGGCGTATAGTAGTGTTGATGAGTACTTTTGGGGGAAACCACCTTCAACAGGAGATGTCTTTGTGATTATATTTGAAAATCCAATTTTAATTAAAAAAATTAAAGTGAGTACTGGAACAGAAGATCGACAAAATGACATTTTACATCATGGAGCCCTAGATGTTGGGGATAATGTTGTAGATCTCAAACAAAGTAGACAATGTGTTACTTACTTAAGACTAGGGGAATTCAAAAATGGAAATTTTGAAATGTCAGAGGTGAATCAAAAAATTCCATTTGATATACATTGTATAAGGATATATGTTACCAAAACACAAAAGGAATGGCTGATTATTAGGAGTATTAGCATTTGGACTTCTTAGCCAATTAAATCAATATGTCCAGTTACTGAAGCAGGCTTTCCTGTTTCCTTTTTTGCTACCTTCCTCTTTTGCTACTTTTGTCCTTTGGAGGGAACGCAGTGGATGGGGTATTTTCAAAGAAAAATCTAATCATTTTGGCAGTTTTGATTTACTTATTGTCAAGATAATTTTACTCTAATCCACACTTGTATTTATTTTAACTCCTGAAGTTCAGTATCAGTCTATGGTTAATGCTACTTTCATTTATATTTTTAATGTGATCATGTTAGTTCCAAAATTTCAACTAAGTGTCAAAAGGACACATGAAGGATTTAAAATGAGAAAATTTAGTTTGTTAAATGTTGAGTCTTGGAAAAGAGTTGCCAGCTGTATATACTTCCTCAAGAATATTATCAGATAGCTTTTATTAAGCATCTGAGTGAATATGCAGTTGGTTAGAATTATAATGTTTTTTTCTTGTAAACATAGGTTTTCATAGACTTCTGTACATCTACAATGAATACCTCCTCATAGAAGTGATGTCTTTACAACAGAATTTTGTGTGTAGGTGGAGTGATGGAAAGAAAAAAATGACTTAAAAAGATTTCTCCCCCGATTATTTATATAAAAAGGGGCCTTGTTCATTGTATAAAAACATTTAATTGAGCACCTATTGTTAATAAATTTTCTGTGGGAAGCAGTCTTTTTCTAGATTCCCTTTTGCAAAAAGAATAGTTATGCTCAATATTTTCAAGTTATATTGGGTACCTACATTTAATAGGAGAAATTAGAGAAGGCCTATCGTTAGTTCATTCTTACAAACATTTTCAGTATATACAGAAAAATTTTTGAAATTGATTTTATATGTTTTGTATTAAAATTCATATAATTGAAATTGTAATCTATCATATGCTTTTTTTGAAGTTTAAATGGACATCTTATAAAAGAGAAAAGTAGGAAACATAGAAATCAGTTGACTTTTCTATATTCAGAGCTAGTTCATAGTAAAGCCAAAGTGAGAGATTAGTTGTTCCAATATCCAGACCGTGCTCTTTCCCTTATGTACAGATTGCTGCTCACATAAATTGTGCTTTCTGTTGGCCTCTCCATGAGTCTCAGATAGTAAGTAAGCTATCTTGAAATAGCTAGTATAATTCTTCCACGAGTCACATTATCATTCTGTGGAAGAAGCCTAAAGTGTCTGAAATGATCTCCTTGTATATTAACCCACATAGCGAGCAAACTTGACCAACTTTTACTATAAGGGACTGGACAATCGTGTCTAAACCATGTCCTACTAAAGCATTTCAGGACACCTTTGTGCATCATAAAGACATTGGTTGTTCGGAACGTCCTGAACTTACCTGATCCTTTCTCTCTTTTGACAAACAGCAAAGATGAAGGGGTTTACTATGAAGACATGAAAAGTACTTCATGCATATTTATGGAGAGGCTCAAATACATACGTTCATAGAGATTGGAAAATATTTCATTCACTTTATCCAAAGTGATTAAATTAGAAACTGGTAAAAATTTGGGAATTTTTTTTATTGATACAGTAGCTACTGTGTATTTTCCTTGCACCCAGTTGCTATAGTATAATAAAGAGTTAATATGAATCTATAAATATTAATACTTTGTTTCACAAAGTCTTAAAATCAGAAAAAAATGAACAACTGAATACTGCCACAAAACCATAATCTTTGCCTTGATTTGGAGGATATTTTCCAGACATTTAAAAGTAATCTATTTTCTTGGCTTTTCTCATCCTCTTTCATTACCTGGCTAGCTGTATAATATTCTACATATTTCTTAGAAATTACAAATAATCTTTTTCCTGCACTTTCAATGACAAAAGGTACACAACAAAAACATGTCATGTCCAGATGAGGCCGACTCCAAGAAGTGATTGTAAACTTTATGGAGTCTAAATAGTTTCTGAGAGTGTTTTCAGAGACTAGCCATTGACATCAACTTCTGGAAAATGCTTCAAGAAATGTTGTTGAGGGTAACAATGAAATTGAATGTTTGAGAATTATAAATGCAAATATGATATAAAGGGGTTACATTTTTTCTGAAACTTGATCTTTTCATTATGGAAACCAGGTTTGAGTAAGCTGGTCAGTCACCTAAGGATGTCTTTATGTTTTCTTTATAAAATGAGCGGAGGTCAACTTTTAAGGAAAGAGTTTGACAAAGCTTCTACAGTAAAGAACAAGGGGACAAATAACCTTTCTCTTTCAAAAAGATAATCTGACCAAATATTCTTTACATGAGTTAATGTTACATTTCCTATATTTAAAAATTCTGAATAAGGCTCCTGTAGTCTTGTTTCAGAGGCATAGAGCAAAAAGACAGTTACAAGGTTTTATTATATTCAATCTGTTATGAAGCATTATATGTGGTCACTGTCTCTCTGCAGTAAGTTTTTTAAAATATATGAAGTATTCTTTGTTACAAATATCCATCAAAAAACACTGGAATGTAATACAAAAGTTGAGTTATTTAATTACTATGTAAATAAGACGCTGACAGGGTTCAAGCACAAAATATGGCATGTACCTTAAATAATCTCTCAATTTGTTTACTTTAAACTGACTAAAAAAGCTTATTTATATTTAAAATTTTTCTCCTTAAGGGAGCCTTTTCGGCATTTATAAACATCAAAGAAAAGCATTCGTAAAAGCACAATAAAAATATGGAAATTATACATTTTTGGAAAATACACATTATAGCAGTAATAACATGTCTGGCTATAAAAATACATAAAAAGTGTTAATATAAGCACTTTTACATTATCATGAAAAAAACAATAACTTTCATAAAATAGATATTTTCCAGATATAAAAATATAATTTAGAAACCAAGCATCACTTAGAACTACTCTTCTCATAGAGCTGCAATTATGAGACTAGAACATTCCATTCTGAACCATTATTCTCTGGGTATCTTTATAAAGGTATAGAAAAACTATGCTGTACAATAATGACACATAAGCAAAACAAATATTTACAAATTACAAGGTATGGTAGGGAAAGCACTTGCTTTTCTAAATGTCCATGTGGGACACATCACTCAATATTTGCCAGTTTGTCCACATGTCCTTTAGAACATGGCAGCCAGGATTAATGTGGAAAGCTCTACTCTCAGTGTCTTCTAACATCTGAAGATAACAGTGTGATTCCCTTTCTTTGCCTCATTAGTATTTCCATTAATACAGCTTAAGGTCACATTTATTTTTATCACCATTAAACTGACTAATAAAGCTCACACTCAGACTTCTGGACATTTTTTTTACACGATCTCTTGATAAAACATGTTTTGCCATTTTGAATATCTTCCATTGATTTTTCTGGAAGTTTCTTTTAAAATTGATATTAATTTCGAGAGAATTTCACTGTTTCTTCTGACCCATGGTCCCCATATCTCTAGCTGTTGATTCCATCATTCTGCATTTTAACATAACTCTCCAGCTCTGTGGTACCACAAATTTGGTATGTGTGCCTTTTGTCCTCTCAGGAGATACACTGGAAGGGCCATGTAGATCTGAGTTTGAAATCAAGTTCTGCAATTACCTCCAGATAGGAGGAAAGTTAAACATTTTGAATCTTAGTTCCTTCATCTGTGAAATTGAAATAATTTTACTTTGTAGACTGTTAGAACTGGAAAGGAGATAACAAACCAATCAAGAAATATATGTTTCCTCTTTTTTTAGCTATATTGTATGTTTAAAAAAAGGATATGGCCCTTCAGAACACTACCAGAGGCCCTTATCCTGATCAATATCTTAAGTTTCATTACCCACTAGAAATGTCACTCAGACCACCTTTTCATATTTATATTGTTAAATAACGTCATGTAGAATTATGTAAATGCCTTCCTAAACTCAAGATATATTATATTCCTATCATTCCAATATATTACTCTAGAAACCTTATCCAAAATTTGTAACAGCTGTTCTTAATATTCATATTGTAAATATTAATAATCATTTTTTAAGAAACCTAAACCCATTTATTTTGAAAAATTAAGAAAAAAAGCCTTTTTGTAATTTCTAAAATTTTGTTCAAAATCTACATTATGCTCACAGAGCTGTGGTTTGCAGAATTTTTCTTCTTTTAATATCATTTCTGTTTGTTTGTTTGTTTTTTCCATTACTGGCAATAGTTACCAGTGCACTGGCTTGTAAATTACCTGGGCTGTGATGTTCAAACATGAAAAGAGGCACCTATCTCCTTGTCTACCTTGAGTTTCATTGCTTAGATTTCTACTGCTTTGAATTTCTTCTCCGTTCATTTCAGGATTATTCTTGTTAGAAGGAAGAAGGTGGTCATAACAAAATGTAATTTTATTAGTTCTTGCTCTTTGTTTTTTGTTTACTTTTAACTCTTTTCTAAAAAATGTTTCAAAATTACCACATCATTGCACATATGGGTGTGTGTATCTATGTCTAGCTGGACATCTCTCTGTATGTGTGTGTGAGACAGTATACCTATATGTATACATTCACATGTACATGTGTGTATACATGTAGATATCACTGTGCGTGTATATATTTGAATATATTGTGTTTGTGGGTGTTTGTATGTTTGCAAGAGCAAGAGGAGAGGAGAGAGAGAAAGATTGAGAAAGAGGTGTGTGTATCCTCAGCATTATTTTTGACTTCCACATCTCCACTTATTCTTGGTTTTAGTTTTCCTAACACACTGCTTTCCTGGTTGTGTCCCCCTTCTGAACTGGCTTTTGGTTATGTGTCCTTACATATTTTATGTATCACATTCTCTGAAAAACCATAGCTCATTAGAAATTTTTGTACATTTTAGATTCTCTAAATTCCTTATAAACTTGTTTATTAGAAGATCCCATATCTCTCAAAACAGAACTTGACTTTTAGAATATCAGCTTTATTTTATTTATCAGATTTATTTTTAATATCAGCTTTAATATTTATTTTAAATATCAGCTTTATTTTTATTTATCAGAAATTTATTTTATTTGAATTTCTTAACAGTTGAAGTTTAAAATATGAGTTGCAAAGCTTTCTTTTTCTAAACTATAAATATTATGAAAACAAGGTCATACTTCCCCCAAATTCTT